CGACAGAGTATGGAGAGTGTGAGTACGAGCAGAGCGTTAGTTAACTTAATTATGGATTTGGACATTAGCGTCTCCTTATTGAACGTGAAATGGCAGGTGAGAGTAATGGTGCGCAGTGGGTCACTTACTTGATGACGTGGTTGATGATCCTAAGGCTGGGATCAAATGAAGAGCGATAATTGAGTGGGACGAGATTGGCGTTGCGAAAGAATAATGAGGAAAGTTCGAAGGTATCAGCAATGGCATTTCATCCACTATCCGTCCCACTGTGTGCGGCGAATAAGGCAGTTCGGCTGACACCACCATACGGCGGCCGATGTTGCATGGAGGTAATTTTGTCCAATTTATGTTTGTATACGGGCTGATATGTTTATAGGTGTCCAAAATCTAGACAGAGAACGACTGGAGGCCTTCGGTCTCGAGGACCAGAGTGTAAGGTATAAGTAGTGAGACTACCACAGTTGTCCAACTTTTAACGAGCAGGCTGCCACAGCTGTCCCAATTTCAAGAGTCAGCGAACTCTTCTGCAGATCTTTATTCAAAGTAAAATCCGGTAGGAGAGACCAACTACTCCACAGATATGCTCCAGTGCGGCTCAATGTGTTCCCGGACCAGTTGCCTCACCACGATAAGTCTTCGTGTCTCAGCCACGACTGGTGATTTATCATACCTATGATGATGATGATCATCATCATAGACAGTACATCATTGCTCAGCACTAATGCTTCTCTGCTGTACATCCATAATTTATTTGCAAGCCATGTTGTGAAGAAAAGAATAGAAAAGTATGGGAAAGTGGTAGAACGCTATTACGGCGACTACTATATCATCTTCAGCTGTAAAACGCGCGCACTTATTCTACAGTGGTTATAACTGTCACAAATTCTTTCGTGGATAACCTGGGGAGGTAGGGGTGGAAAGCTAAGCAGCTGGACTGATAAAAAGTATAATAAATGTGAAGGATTCGGTCGGCTTATTAAATTTCCAGGTGAAGCAAACTCCAGATGCATTCATATCTTATTACATAATCTATGAGTAACACCATTACTCCATTGTGAAGGGGGCGGAGTGGCTCATTGTTCGGAGTCCGAATTTACTGACCGGAAGGTCCACCCGACCCCTTCCTTTCGACTTTCCCCGTTTAGACTTGGGCAACCTGGCAGTATCCCAGCCCTCATGCTTCGTTCGAGTGGCATGGCAGTTAGGCGCCGAAGGGGTGTTGCAGCTGAACGATCATCTTGTTCATCTTATTTTATCTTTTATCTTGTGAAACCAGGTGATTAACCGGTGATGTATCCCAAGCTGGTAAACACTGACATATTCCTTCATCTCCGTGATTTGTTGTCTGACGCAAGCAGTAGTGACTTGTTTAGAAGTTGGTTGTCACGCTTGTGCTTCAAGTTAACTTACCGGTGGAACGGCCACAGAATATGACTGTGTGAAGCGCGCCGGATACATATGCCGTTTGTCCTCTTAATTATTCTGCATGCTCTGATTTTCGTCACCTTCATCGTCGACACCATTAGTAGCGGTAGGACTTGTGTGCGTCTGTGTAACAGTCAGTGAGTGCGCTGTATGCACTACTTGGCCAGTGTAAACGTCGGTGCGTGGGCATCTGTGTGCAACCTCGTCTTATCAAGCTTCAGCGACAAAAGTACGAGTGAACTTATCAACAGAAAGGGTCTCCGTGATTTCTTTCTTCATGAACTTCCATTAAAAAATCCTCAGTTTGCAGCACGATTCGTAAGGTTTTATTCTTGGATGCTACTTTTTAGCCCCCGGGTAACTAGATCTCGACACCTAGTACTTGAATAATCATGTAAGGATACACTCTCTCATCTTTGTTGAAGTTCGGACGGCATTATGTCCGTTTTTATGCAACGCGTTCGTGTTTGGTAGGAGTGTAAGAAGTGACAACATTCTGCAGAACTTATTTACTTCTTCAGGTAGTTCAAATTCACTGTCCAACAGCGCATAGGGCATACGAATATTACATTAAAGCCGAGAGATTTTAAGTGAACTGTGTTACGTTTTGTTACTAATCCGTTCAAAATTGCTACAGATGCGATATGTCAAAGCTATGCACATAAACCCTCAAGCGCGGTTTCGCGAACATTTTCCCACCAAGCTCGTGTTACTTACTTCACTGTCCTTTTTGGTTTCGCAAAGCACAGATGTGTTCCACGTGACTCGACACAGGTGTGAATTTGGTGCATTAACGTACGTAAAGCAGTTAGGAAAACCTATCCCGAATTGTGACTGTTGATGAGGTGGCGGTGTATGTGGCATGACCTATAAGTAAATACAGGAGCCCACCTTAAAGGGAACACTCCGCACCGGGAAATGTTCGATCAAGTATCAAATTACGCAAGTAATTTCCATTACCAGTTGCTTCCCCCCCCCCCGACATTTTCCAAACGAGACAAATATCACCAGCACAAATCACGAAATCTTCATCTGTCAACTGATCAGATAAGCATGAAAACAGTACTGGGTCTGCGATGGGTTTTACTCAGAAATGGACAGCGACTAGAAGGGATATTCATGTATAACGTTCTTCATCCCTGTCGAATTCGAAAGATCGATAGTGACTTTCTAACAGAACCTCGCGGTGCTGTCGACGACAACCCCAAATTATGAGTTTCGATTTGATGCTAGTAGGTAGCAAACACCGCAGTTCCGTTTTGGTTGTCAATGCTTACTTGAAATCCGTGTCAGCCGAGCACCATTCCACAGAAAAAAAGGCAGAAAACAGAATAACGGGGTCATTTTATTGTCTTGTACACAATGTAATAAAAACGGTAGCTGTGGATTGTCTGAAACGTGGTACCTTGTCCATCTTTATGAACCTACTATTTGAGTATGTATATCACGGCTGTGTCTAGAAAAATTATCATAAGCGGAGATAATGTGAACCTAATCGCCTGGAACATCACAACTGCAGCAGCAAATGGCATCTTTATGACTATTTGAGTATGTATATCACGGCTGTGTCTAGAAAAATTATCATAAGCGGAGATAATGTGAACCTAATCGCCTGGAACATCACAACTGCAGCAGCAAATGGTGTTACTCAATGTGTGCGGAACTTCTCAGCAAAATTCTTTTAGCGAACTTAGTCCGTTTGAACAGCTGCCGGTAAAGCTGATCAGTGCCTGAATAATTAGCAAAGCAACGCGGATACGTTGGTGAGTTTTTCTGACCAAGGATACCAAGTACATCATAGGATTGATCCCTTTTAGCGAAGTAGATTTTTGTAGACACTGGGTATTCTCTTCGATGGAAGCTACTGCATTTAGCGATGCGGATTTTTGCAGAAATTACCTATTCCAGTTCCTATAAGAATGACTTTTTGAAGAAGTGGTCTCTTACGGAATGGAAACTAAATGCAAGAGTTGGAAGTGATCAGTTTCTAGACTTTGTCCTTTTCGAGTGCCGCACGGGTCACTCCAGGTATGATATCAAGGGGCTCTCAATGTTACGTGTATACTACTGATGAAACATGCTAATAGTGTCTGGTCTGGTGTCCAAGCCTTCGCCCTGCATCTGGTGGAAGGTGAAGGTTAATACGAAAACCATGGAACCGCGTTTCAGCGTTCGTTCATTATTTTCTATTATTATCCAGGAAGGTTCACTAGGACGCTTGAGAATGTTCACTTTCCAAATAATATGCAGATGATATATTTACTTTCGTGTCTAATGGCTTATAACCGCTCAGTTCGTATTTACTTGTAAGCAACTCCGCAGCGAAGAGAATTTCTCTTTTCACCAGTAGACAGTCGCGATTGACCCACATGCCGAATGAGTGCTTATTTTGTTCCAACCGGTACAACGTACCGGGTCAGAGGGTCGTAGTAAACATAGCGTGACAGTGAAAACCCATAGAGCTCAGGCATTAGTACAGGCGGATTTTGTAAAATGTATTGATGATTCACCCATCGTCATTACCATCAAATCTGCTGACTCGGCCGTGTGCTGATCATGCCGGAACATAGTCTACTGATACGAGTGTTGTTCTTCTTGCCTCCTTCAAAACGCAAACAACTGCGAGTTGGACAACATGGAAATTAACAGAAGGGTGTAAGAGAGGTTACGATGTGTTGTTGATACGCCTCGCCTAAAGGATCAAATCTCCGTGACTCCCGGCGCTTGTCTGAAAACCTTGCAAGAAATAGCGGCATTCGTGCTGTCGAATCGCTTCAGTGAGTACTAATACAAGAACACTTGCATTGGGCTCCACTTTCATCTTTGACCTCTAACTATAACTAAATGAACCTTACGTCTGTAAGACACTGAAGCTCTTGGTGACGATGATGTTGTCTCCGGTGAACATGAGCTTATTTCTCGAATAACAATAACAATGGATTTGGCATCCTTTAGGTACATGGCTGTAATGCAAATCAAAGGAGGAAGGCGGACTGAGATATCTGCAGTCGAAAAGCCAGAGTTGTGTTCGAACCACAGACTTTCCAATTAATAGTTCCATTCCTTACTCGTTGAGCGGTATCCAGCTCTAAGTTATCGAAAGGCATACTTGAAAAGTGTTTGACTGAGGTTATCCAAAGGGTGGTCTGAATTCGCAATGTTCAATTTATGAAAAAGTTCGCTCGTGCTTCGAACAGGAGGAGCTGATGATTTTTCGACCCATTCAGTGGTTTCCGCGAAAATAGACCCCAGAAGTGTGTTCTGACTCAGCGATCTTAGACTGGCGGATATCATGTTTTGTGGCAGCTTCAAAATATGCGCGCTGTGCAGCTGGAGCTCTACACTACGGTGAAAGTGATTGTTTTGTGCTTGCTTCCAGATCTTTCCTGCTCCAAACTATTCCGAGTACCTATTTAACAGACATTTCGAGTTTACTTCTTAAAGACACCGTCACATAACTCAAACCCTGTCCTGTGTTGCACACTAATTTTCGGTGCTACACACTCAAGTATTCTGCTATGCTCGTTCATGTTCAAATAATGAAGCCTCTGGGTTTCCCATCTGTTCGATTTCAGAGCGCTAACTATCCTTTACCGCCGGGGATGGACGAACTGCTTCCAACAATGCACCAGCTGGCCGCCGAAGAACTTTATTGGGAATACCTGGGAATGAAACAGTGAGTTCAACTTTACGGCCACTTCCTCTCGGAGGACGAGCCAGCTCCAAACATGTCCGGACTGACGGATACCTATGAAGTACGATCAGCACTGAGATCCGGGCGGAGCGTCATTCAGTTTCTGCTCCATTGTTTGATGCTGCAAATCAAATGGAGACCCACATTCACCCTCAGGGACATTAGGAAGTTGCAGTGTGACACAAACACTCCTTGAGAAACAAACCCTGCCGGTTTTGCCCTAAAGTTCTCGAAATCCCCCTCCACTAGGGAAAAACTACTGAGTAAATAAGGGAAGAACGGATACGTGGAGTGGAAATCTGATTCTGACCAACGAATGCTTCACACCATGCTAAGCTTCCCAGAATTTGTACATCTTATCTGATTACAGTGAAAACCCTCAGTATGCGACCCCTTAATAAGGGATATCTCCACTTTGGAACAGTTTCTGAATTCTCGTGAAGCTTTTCATAAAGGAAAATACTCACAAGGCTGCTGAAAACTATTCGACAGCTTACTACCGTTTGCGGCCTTCTTGGAGCTCATCAGATAGGCGAATTCCCCAAGTTCCAGCAAACCTTATGTTTTAGTTGAACCCAAATTAGACAGATTTCCACAAATACCTCCACTTGCATATCGATTTGATTTTCGCGGAAGACTCAACTGAATCTCTCGTTTATGATATTCTTCAACTGGATGTGCTGCGCAAAGGCCACCTCATGTTTTAGTTGGAAATGCGTCTATCTGCTAAGCCCCAAGAAGCGTGGAACCGCTCGTGGGCTGTCGAAGACTTTTCAGCAACCTTGTGAGTAGTTTCCTTTATGAAAATACATTGCGACATCTAGAACAGCGTATCAACTGAGGCTGTTGTGTGCAGCACGTTCAGTTGAAAATCATAAACGAGAAGTTCAGTTGAGTCCCCCATGAAAACCAAATTGATGTACGAATGAGTGCATTTCTATCATGAAGCTTGTTATTGAAATTCCTGCAGTAAAGATATCACAAAGACCCAAACACCGTCCTGCAAAATCATACCTCCAAGAGCGATCTGTTTTATTCATCCATCGCTCTCACTCGAGAACTTCTAGGCTAATGGATGGGTGTTCTGGAAGAAATGTGAAGGTGGATTGTAGTTGAACATCAACGCACTCCAAATCAATCCACTTTCTATCAGGTTAGTGGGTTCGGGTGTTCATTTGCATTTGCTTCTGAATTGAGCACCTGCACCAGATTTAGCTAGCGTGTACAGTCCTCCAATCACTTTTTCCCCGAGTTTTTTTTACTTATTTGATCCTTGCGACTGAAGTTTGTGATAGCTACATTCAGATATTTTCAAGGTATCACCAATTTACTAAAGGCAGATAGATGTGCTGAATAAGTAGTTTAGACGCTATCAACATGGAATGACGTACCGCAGAGCCTGAGTCTTTACTTATTTTCCGGCTATGGTACACGAACTAACCATACTGCGTGGGCTGGGATGGTTAGACCAGAATGTATATTTGTCCGTGGGCATTCTGTCTTGCAGAGCCCTTTTTGTGTTAGCATAGGTTAAAAACGATCGAAAGGTGTTCAGCCAGTGACTTTATAAAAAAGCACGAAAGTCTTGACCAGTAAGTCAGTCGTGTTGGCAGCTGTCGTCCCGGAGTGGAAGCCCTGGGACATTGACGGACACTTCCCAATCACAGTTGATGGTGTCGCTGGATCGGTCAATCGCAGTTAATGCTCGGTTGTTCCCTTTGGTTAGAAATTTACTCCAACTTCACGTCATTGGAGTTGCAAGGCAAATGCCTCCAGCCTGTGGCTGCCTCCTTTTTAACAGTGGAGTGTGCAGCAGATGAAAGCAATGTACCCGTCGTAAACTGTTTGCAACTGGGTAACTGGAGTGAACCGAACCACGAATAGCACCCGCGAGGTGGTAGCTTAGACTCCAGATGATAGGACCATACCAAACTCATAGTTAACAACCGTGGTGACTTCAGTGCCATGGCTAGGCGAACTTTTCCCATACATCCCTTAAAATGGTAAGATCAGGTGCTGTGAGGAACCCGGAGTTAATGGAAATACATGAGATGACAGTGCCGACCATCCCTACTACGAAACAAGTGAAACTCAACCTTGAAAATTGCTGATGCAGGTAGGTTTGCGGAGCGCACGCAGTGCAGGTTGATGCAGGTGTGCAAACGAGATCAAGGCATCGTAGTGTGTTCAAGAACCTCATATTTCTGAAGGTGAGACTGATTTGTAGCTCACCTACTCCTCTTTTAAACTTTTTTTCGTTATGCGAGGTAGACTGGGAGGAGGATATGGTTTAGTCTAGAACGTTCTGGTAGCTATTCCTCTCGGGAAGAGCCAACCTCAGAGGATAGCACTAATTTAATGGGAGCAGGTTGGTTGGTCCACTAAGGCGGATTTCAGCAGTGAGGCCTTCCCTCAGGCATGCCACTTTAAACTGGCCTTTTCAGGTGGCCTATCCAGCGGAGGACTGCTGTACCCATGGAGCGAATTCTACTTCTATGGGCATCTTGGCTCTCATCCACGGGTGCCCTTTGTAGACGGGGTATTTGGTATATTGGAAATGAGTAACTATCACATGCATGTTTACCTTTTTTCAACCCACCTCACAGCCACTGGGACGAGAATCTCCATGTGGTAATGTCCGGCGTTCTCAAAATGATCCTCTGCAGTATGCGTCATTTCACACGGTAAGTCACAGATATTGAGTGTGCATCCTTACCAACTGGTCAGTCGTAAGACGTTGATCGATGAAGAATAACTGATCGTGATGTATAGCAAGACAGATTTCGGGAGCTGCTTTCCATGCCCAGTTCAGAGTGGCGGAAGTACAGAGGTGGTCAACCCTTGACCTAGCAGAAGAGTATGAAGGAGATCACGAAACGCTTGTGTGCTGTCGGTGTTACTCGCCTCCCATGATGGGGACCGCGTGATCCTCACTGTGCCTGGTTGGAGACACTACAAGATATGGCTGCCAACCGATGTCAGGGGCGTTCTTGTTGTCAGTTTCCATTCAGATAGCATGAATGAGGGTCTAGAAGTGTAGGCATCTCGGAATGATTGTAGTAAGGTAGCACTAAATCCCTTCGTCACCCACCTTTATCCTTTTCTTTTATTCTTTTCACAATAAGGCTTTTAAATAAATGACGGTTGTACGGCAGCGGAGCATGGGTGAACAGTGATGTCATACTGTCCATGATGATGTTTCGGGAGCTGCTGTCGCTGACAAAATGACTGACACTGGTTATCTGTACCACTGGATAAGTTAGTTCAGCTATATGTGAGAGTTAAGAATGAAGCAATAATTTTCAAGCGTGGAACTAAAGCGGATATGGTGAATAAGTATTTCGCGATCATATTACTCTTGTTTTAAGTTTTCCTCCAGTACTTTCGCAATTATTCTGGTGAGTCCATATCAAGTGGAAGAAGCAATGGACTTGAGTTTCACTCTTATTAGTGTTCATCAGCATACCTACTATCAAACGTTTTGCCCAAGGTGTCTCGGATGAAAAACTACTGGTACCGAAGTAGCCACCCATTCCACCACGAAAAGTGCGATGATTTTGAGGAGCATATACATACGTCTCACTAACATTCTTTAGGGGTATGAATAAGCAGCCCCTACGTACCGTAACTGCTTTGCGTTCTGCTGTAGAAAGTGCACACGGTTAGGTAAGATCACGCTACAAACGCGGACGGGTCTTATCACGTGAACAGCAGTCCACAGTCACGTGTCATCATTTGACCAGCTGGCCACGAACTTGGCCTAATTTCAAACCAGTAGTCTGCCTTACAAATCTGAAATCCACCCATGGCGGGCTGTTGCTGTTTGAAGCGAAACTATGATCCCTCTGGTGTATCACTGTTCTGTACACGTTCGAAGAGACTCACAGAAAAGAAAATAAGGTCGAAAATCGCTCAACTCCCTTTTATCACCTTCGCTCGGGCGCGGTGTAATCTCCGCCCATTCTTTCTTTAAGTTCACGTGACACTTAGCGGGTTCCAATGGAGAGCACACTGTCACTCCTCAGCCGATCTGACATGCTAGAATTTATCCGCCTGGCTCGAATTGAACAAAGCTCTGTAGGATGCTGAACTGGACCTGCACGTCCTATCTTACATCAATACGATGCTCAATACGCTCCTTCCAATGCCTTCTGAGGCAACAGGCGCCTTGCTATCGACCATTTGAGTCACTACTCTACCTTTCACTATTTCTTCCTTCTTCCTACTTTTTGTAAGGTAGTCAAGAACCACTGTCCATTGTTGGTCTATTGCTATAGATGATGGTAATTTTTCTGCTGGTATTTGGCATTTCAAATCAAAAAGCTGTACACGCCTATTCACTGTGCGGTTCCCCGGAACGCACTTGTATGAGACTGGTTTTCCTTCATCTATGGCTTGAACTTTCAAGCCAAAAGTTGGATTTTTCTGAACCGTCCACTGCATTTCCTACCAGCACGTGCAACGGGCGAGTCATTCGTCATACCAACGAGGAAGACTAAAGACTAGTCAAGTCAAATTGATGATAAGAAATATTCTACAACAGGCGGAACTCAATACACACAGAGGGAAGTTGTTAAGAATTGTTGATGCGCTTCACTTCGGCTTCGGCCTACCAAAATGCCGTTACCTTCAAGGGCATCCTAGTGACATAAATATGAACGGAGCAAGACAAGTTGCTTGAAAATACCAGTCTATGATGACCTGTTGTACAAGGGATAATCATTTCCCACAGCCAGCAGGAAATATTTTCAAATCATCTACGTCAAATGTACAACTAATGCGCACACATGGGAGTGGGAACATAAGTTCAAATTCCAACTCCATGCTAAGCACTATCAGAGCCGTTGAAAATATGCGGATACATCGGAAGCCAAAAATCGATACCCAAAAACAAACACGAAAAGCATAACGGCAACAAGTCCTCAAAAAGTTCTCGGTTTTCCGGTTTTTTTCGTCTATCATCACAATAGAGTTGAACTTGTTGTATCGGGCAACGGGTTAGAACCTGGCAAGTAAACGTATGCCCACTGCTCGGTAGAGACTGCGAACCTATCGACTGAGATTTGCTGGCAGCGTCCGTAATCGATAACCAAACAATAGAAGCTACAAGAACGGACCGGCTGGATGTAACAAGTTGGATGATAAGTGGGATCGGGAGCACAATTCAGACGATCCTGGATATCTCACTCCCTTGCTTTTCCACTAACCATATACTGAAACCTTTCTCATGAACGACTAACAGCAACTAACGGCGTAGGTCCCTGGGGCGGTAATCTGCCTACTGAAATGGGTACGAACTTAGGTGGAGTCACATATCAATATACCAGAAGCATCACTCCAGCTATATCGGTTTTCCAGTCGCAATTCGTCTGTCAAATATACGTTTCCGTCCCCTCTAAGGTTCAACAATCTGTTTCCATACCTGACTTATTTTCCCCAGCTAACTGTTTCATGGACAGCATGACACCAGCGTTCACCCGCGCTTCGCTGCCGTACAACAAGGGTTTATTTCAAAGCCGTTTGTGAAGAAAGGAATAAAGGTGTGCAGGGAAGGGACCTAGTGCTACCTTAGCACAATCACTCCGAGATGCCTACACCTACGGACCCACATTCAAGTAATCTGGATGAAAACTCAGAACACGAACGCCATTGACGTCTGTGCTTGGCTGGAGAGGTTGCAAGAAATGGCGGCTAATCGATGTTAGTAGCGTTTGTGCTGTCAGTTCCTTTCCAGATTGTCCGGATGAGCGGTTGGAGGTGTAGGCATCTCAGAATGCTTGACATAGGCCTCACCCACTCTTTTTCTCTTCTTTTTACCTTAGGGCTTTTAATATAATTATACATATATATACACGAACCTTATGGTTGTACGGCAGTGAAGCATCAGTGCCAACACTGATGTTGCTGTCTTTGATGATGATGACGTCGACTAGCAGCGTCTCCGACCAGGCACAATGGGGATCACGCGGTCCCTATCGTGGCACCTATGTTGTTCTCACGCTGACGGGATTGTGATAAATCAGGATGATTCATGGTTGACAGTATGCTCAATGCCAATTTTGGAATACTTTTCTCAACTACTTTAAGATCCTTTCCAATCCACCTACGAAGGCCCAACTTCGAATGACGATAACTCAACTAATGAAAGAGCCATCAAAGAACATAGATTTCTTGCTTGAATTAAGTAGACCAACGTTGGGATACGAAGGCTTTGACTCGGTGTGCACAACCTGAGTAAGAGTAAATGGTTCACAGCTCATATGGGAGCTCGACGTGTCAATCTTCCTTGAAACGAACGCAAAATCCTGGCACGCAGTCTGCTAAACCAAATTAACGCTAATATTCTGGATGAACATATCCGAAACGGATGCAGTACGGTTTATCCTATCATTTTAGCGGATCTGCTGCAAGATCAACACTGAGAACGGACCCAACTACCATATGACCCGTCCGTAGACATATGAAATCCTTCAACACGTTAAACATGGAGACGTTGTGAATAGCCATTTGAAGGCTCAACTCTGCCAGAAAACCGCCACTCTTACCCACTCTCTTCAATGTGGTATGACTTGCGGAACTAGCTCGAGTTCGAAATTGGCACTGTGGGGCCAGTTTGATTTTTTGCTTGGACTTCGCTCACTTTCCATCTGCTCGCAATTTAAGTGGAAGGGTCTCGAGAGATAGCGTGCCCATCCGCTTCCTTCCTGACGGCCATCTCTTTACCTCGGAACACTCCATGATCAGAGTGAGGTTGCTCGAATAAAAAGTCCACATATGGCTATTTGCATATTACTGCTTTAGTTGCATAATCAGATTAAAAACCGCAACAAACAGCCACAGCACCAGCCTCAGCGGGATTTCGTTTAGGTCTAGGTCTTTTATCCAACTCCCGGAGGAGACCTGCAGTCCAACTGATGGCCGCGTCAAAGCGTGCCGTGGAGACTTCTCCACAGCAGCACTGTGTCCAAACTAGGTATTCGATATTGTAGTAGATTCTCCAAATGTCAGGGCAAGGGATGTATTTGATCACGTGTTTTCAGCAACGGCTAGCTGTGCATGAATAACCAAGGTTCCAGCTATACTATTTTCACTGCTGTATGGCAGCGAAATATGTACGCTCTGCGATGATGCCAGGTTTTGCAAATTTCACTTGCAATTTCTGCGCAAGATTCTCCGTATTCAATGATCAGATCGATTCCCGAATACTGAGGTTCGAAAACGAACCGAGAACAAAACAGTTGAGTGTGTCGTGATATGGTTGGTAAAAACAACCAGCTACGCTGTATTGATCACAACAAGAATGACAGATAACCGCATTTTGGAACAACTCATTAACAGTCAAACGGAAAGATGGAGCTCGAACATGACCGCCCAAATTTTGCTATTCATACAGTTTTCAGATAAGTTTGAAACCGTAACCTCGGTTTCAAATCTTCGGTAAAGCTGGTCTGGCGACATGTTGCTCGCACAAGCTTGTTGAGCTTTGAGGAACAATGCAGGTAAATACTCGAAAAGCAGCCGATCATTTGAAACGACCGTACGATGTCAGGTACGACAACAGCCACATTGGCCTGTGCGGCTTGTGGGCTTACATACTTGAGTAGGACCGGACTTGTCGGTCACCAGAGTACTAATTATAAACCACCACAGTGAGTTACCTAAGTTAGCCTCGATTTCCAAGTAACACTTCTTCGATGCTACCGACAACTGTACAACATTGAAAAACCATTGGAGGTTAATCACACGACGAGGCTTTCGTATTTCAAACCATCAAAAGCGACCAGATAGAACATGCTGTGCAAAGTAGAAAATTCTTCGAGGAACACTGCATCGGACTATTGAATAGAACCTGCCCGAGAAACAATCGGGTGGTGGCCTGCACCGGCCTCATATCTGCGATATAATGAAACTATTTCATTCCACGACCGGAGTCATCTGCAAAACAAGAAAAGTCTACGACAACTGACGACCAGAAGCTAACAGATACAATTCCAATATAAAACTGAATGCTTTCATTTCTGCAGTACATTCTCATCATTGAGGTATGCTTGACGAGCCAGTAGATTTGACTTGGATAATAGCCGATAGCGAGAGCTAAGGGATTATTTAACATTTTTGTATCGCTTTTGCCTACTTTCATCCTTAGAATGCAGTAAAATCTCTAGCGTGCGTTATTTACAGACCACGATCAGAGCATTTACAGGCCCAATAAACCTACACATACTCATGAAGGCGAGTTACACGGAGTGACCGGTAAGTGGGCGTTTCTTATCAACATTCCATTCCGCAAATTTCAACAACGCAGATGTCAACATGACTTAGAAAACAAGGTGTTTACGTTGACGAAACGTGTTTCACTACAGCGTCTTAAAACAAAACATCCTGTTAGTAGTGGACTTGAGCGACTGTTAGTACCTATGAACCAGAACCTCGCACGTGGTCTGGCCACTAAAGTGTAAATTCCAATAGCTGAGTTCGCTTAATTGCGCTTACCACCGTCAACTAGTCAATTCAATTTTTCTTCATTCCAGTGTTCCGAAGTTCCAGCTCTACTCCTGTCACGATTCTACCCTAATGCTACTGCTCTATGCTTTGGAATGTTTCGATGGCTACTGGCCTCCGTTTGCGGCAGATTTGATTTTAGAATTGTACGTGGACGAGAATGTGGTGAAAATCCTAACCGAAGGTGACAGCAGTCCTCAAGCTGACAACAATAACAGAAGACTTTCAGACTTGCAATACACTCCTCTGGATGCGCTATGGATCAAAGTGTCCTATCTTGGACAGGTCGTGCCTCTCGGATGTCTTTGGAAGACACCCTACACGGATGCTGGCCGATACAATATGGGTTATGTTCCGTTACGTTTCTTACTAGAACGCTGGAGTTCGAGCGCGCCGTCTTTCGAAGACCTCGCCTTGAAATAGTCCATACTAGCATGGCGATCGGTTCAATCATCATACTCTTCCAAACCTACTCATTGTGATTTGATGAGTGCCCGATACCTTGACTGAGCAATTATTTGGTTCTTATTCTTATTCCGCAAGTCAAGATAACTGGCAGCTTAGTATAGAGAATAATTTGTGAAACTTCAGTTTACTATCAATGTTTGCCTCGTTTTGGATTTTATTTTGCCCCGAAGATGCGCAATAAAAATTGGACTATCTACTCGTCTATGTAAATGACTGGGAATGGTTCACTCAAAAATGGTATGCCACGTACGTACGGGAAATGTATCAAGTCGGTGACTCAACTTTGTTTTAATACAAGCTCCAACGAACTCCACGTTACGAAGTCTAGGAAATGTTAGTGTGCAAAAGTGAAAATCCTTAAGGTGACACATTCCGAGCAGTTTGTATTACGCTGATACCCACTACTACAATACTACATACAACCCAAGTAAAGGCCCGTTCACTTGAAACATCAATTGACGCTTTGTGCCAGCGGCTACCATTGGTACCACAGCAATCTGAGCAAATGCTTGTATCCCTCAGCTGTAAAACCCTTCCGGTGCTGCCGTGCTACCCAACGGAAGCACGAGGGCTGGGATACTGCCAAGTTGCCCAAGCCTAGACAGGGGGAGTCGAAAGACAGAGGTCGGGTTCGAACCACGGACCTTCCGGTCAGTGAATTCGTGCTCTAACCACTTGGGCCATCTCGCTTGCCATACTTGTCCTAAAGTTTTAACGGCTGTGCACAGTAAAGTACTATCAAGAAGACTTTGGGAATGTCACCGTCCCATAACTATACAGCTAAAACAAGAACTATAGCGGTTCCGTCTAGCCACTACTACCCAATAAATAAAAAGTCATTCGGTGAAAGACACTTCTCTTATTAGATATATAAGGTGACAAGCGGTAGGAAAAGACTTATTTCAATCATTCAGGAGGGTTGGTTCTCTATATGTGGAATTTTTCCTCATAAGATTGACCATGGACATCGTGTAACTTCACCGACTTCGGCGAACGTTTGCTTCTCTTTGTGAACACACAAAGCAGTTCAAGCATCAAAACTCATTTAGGCGTCATCAACCGGGATTCTTGCGACCACTGATAATGACGGCCTTTGTAGTACCCATCGATATCGGACGTGTATGTATCACTGTGAGATCCATGTGCGACAGAAGGCCCGCGAACCAGTTCGATAATCTGGTGGCTACCAGCAACCTGAATTCTCCTCCGGATCGGAGTGTGCTGGAGAAGGGGAGACCATATACCAGTTAGAAACGTGGTCACCATAAGAAGGCCTAATGGTCACTAAGTCTGGATTTTATTCTGTAAACACAGTCATCTCAAGGTTAAAATCGGAGAAACATCATGCTGTATCGCTCTAGTTGTTAGTCATCAGTGGTGCGTAGCTTCCCGGGGGGAACTCCAGATAAGAATGACTGATCGGTGTGTCCTCACTGACAAGTTACCAACAGAACTAATGCATCATTCCAAGATGAGTACGGGGAACGTGAAAGATTGATGGACCTGAGCTGTTCGTTCACAACGAAAAGCGCGCGGTTAGTTTGCTACCTGGGTGTCCGATCACGAAAAATAGTCTCTTATCGGATACTGAAAATCACTAGTCGTACTTTTATTGATAAATCTAACGAATCTAACAATGGTTCCGGGTGTCGCTTGACCACTGATCGGTAGTAAACCAGGTAGGAAGTATTGTGCACCCGCAAGGCATCCAAACAAAGCGCATTCAGCTGAGCGCATCTTCCACACCATACATAGCATCAGCCATTTCCCCAAGATTATGCGAACCTACGAAGGTGAGAGTTGAGAAGGCTAAGGTCGTTTTAGATGATTTACGGTGCATGGTCAAGTATGAAAAAGACGATACTCGACTACAAGCACGGTCCGAAAAAGAATAGTCAGTTGGACTGTTCCACATAAGTACGAACCTTAGAATGCCTTCTTGCAGAGCGGATTTCTTGGGTTTACTCCTCTAACTGACAACGGGCTGAACAAAGGAATTGTTAAATAAGCGAGGATATGACGGTACACCAGCGCCGATGTAGGGGGGGGGGCAAAGAATGAGAAAAACATCAGTGGACAAAAAGCTGAGAAAGCTACCTCCACAATAAACAGACCGAAGATGGGATTGGTAGGATGCTCTAGTTCAACCACCGAGTCATGGTAGGAAGGTTTGATGGGAGAACCATGGTTTGGGTCGCTCTGCACTCTGGCTGCCGTGGTAGGTAGCATACGCGTACGTTGTACAGCAATGAAAATGCACTTCACTCATACGATGGTCTCGTACGAAGTAATCGGGAAGATTATGTATCGTGAATACATTGACGGGTCTCCCACCCTATGATTGAGTAATCCTGTCGTACCAAAGTTTGATTATTTTGTGGAAAACCATGCCCTCGGATAGACGATATGTTTCGTCGTATAAGAATGAAACGAAGGAACGATAAACTTTTATGAGCATATGCACGATTTTGAGAAATCTGTGCAAAATAAAACTTCAAACAAAGCCACAATGACCACTAAATGCTCAGTAATAATGCAACGGTGAACGTGATCGTGCGATTTTTTTCCTTGCATGGCGTCACACTGCTAGTCTCGTCGTCCAAGCCTACCAGTCCGACTACTGGGTCCAGATATGTTTTCCAACAAGGAAGAACGAAGTGAACATGAGTGCTGAGAAAGCCATCCAGTTTTAGTTACGGCGGTGAATTTCTTACGTGTAAACCATGGGTTCGCTTCATCGTTTTCGTTGACCCCTGACTCCCCCCACTTTCTCGGGCTGTTTTTCATTTTTATTAGCACACTAACAGAATGTCACAGTCGGGTTATGTAGTGGTCGCAAACTGAAAAACTCTATGAAGCAGAAAATTAGCTTACCTTCTGAGCAGTTCAGCACAGTTCTGGTGGCAACGCTGGACAGACATGTGATTGAATTCTTCCGAGCCCCGAGTGTACGCACCATACTTATGTCCGAATGGCAGGTCACAAGCGACAGAGTCACAAACACCTGCACGAAACGGTGTTCCTAGATGTCATGGGAAAAAATCGGGCGAATAATGGACATCAGTAGCCCATCGAGAAAACTAGTGGGTCCATCCCATCCCACAGCCAGCATACTATCCGAAACTATATAATGTGATATGGCCGTGACAATAGCAAGGAGAGAATTGTTTATCGACCAAATCGTATCTGGGAAATTGTCCAGGTTATGTAGAATATTTCCTATGGAAATCACATCCTGTAAGCGGGACCAATCTGTGCTGATAAACCGAGAAGCACTATAAAGCCGTTTTGCCCTTAGTGGGAATCATCAGCAGTGGGCGAGACTGAGGAAAGTTTCGAACCCGCAAGCTCCCTGCTGGTAGTTCAACACTTAATCCTTTGACCACAAGCAGCTGATACTGATTAGCTTGGATTTAGACAAGATATAGAGCCACCCATCGCTCAATCACGGAAATCACTTAGTGATAAGTTGCTTATTGGCTTCTTGAGTGACGACTTCTCACATGGAAGGTTCACTAAATTTGAGAATTATTCATCGGGGATGTGCAAAGCATAAACCATAAGCTCGAAACCTAAATCGCAAATAACAACCATATGCCTAAAGAATTAACGAACTCGCCTGGGTTATTCGTGTTTTACAACTGGACCAACTATGGTAAACGCTGATAATATTGCATACTAATTTTCCGTTTTCGTTTCAGATAAATGAATTCGATAGAACTCACTGTACCAAAGTTCCAAATAGGTTACACAATGAGGGCCTAAATTTTGTCCGTGAAAACGGTACGAACTTTGTAGAAGTTAGGGATGAAATCAGTGTGGCAACGATTCCGCGTGAAAAAAGACAATCACTCCCAAACATTCAGTGCAGTGGAGATTGAGATAACTAGCAAGATCTACCAGATTTCTCTACCACGCTCTTGAACCTTAAGTTTTTCGATGGAAAATACACTGCACAAACTCGTAATTGGAGCAAATAAATAATTAGGCTAACGTGACAGTAAATCATGTATATCATGTGAGGTGTCTGGCTACTGCGTACGGATGAAGTACTACAGTAGGAAAATGCACCAGCTTGACGTTTCGCCTGTGCTCTAAAGGAAAAAGCGAATGATTCACATGAAATAACGAACCAAAGACATCGAATTAGAAGAACGATTTGAAGCTGACCAAACGACGGTGGTGGACATCTGAACGCGTCCTCTGCATCCTATGAACGATCTTATCTTCGTTCACGGAGTTCAGTTTTTCAGCTGAAAAAACGTGAACCAAAGTGCGGTGGTTTTATCTGCTACAGGCTCGTCCGCCGAGACTAAGGAAGATACGGGTATGAGAGCCACATGCTGGAGTCGATGCTCCTATCAGTCCATTGACTTCAAATGGTTCTGTTTTTGTCCGTTATGGGGGAGATTGAGAGCCACGAAATAAGGACGATACCTTTGATGCGAGACCACAATTAGCTGCATGACAACCACATGTGTCAGGGTCACTAACCACTGGTGTGCCTCGTTCTACAATCCCAATCCGGAGAGACTGTAGTTACCCGTTGACTAGTACGGGTTTCCACGGACTGACCGCCTCTGGGCCGTTTTGATGCGATAAAAGGCTGGGTGAATAGTACTCTGAGAACTAAGTGGTCTAACTAGTGTGACCAGTTGATCTATCGAGTAATAGCGAGAAATTATCTGGCGTATCTCAGCACTACAGATCTGATGTCCTCACGAGACCCACACAATGCTTTGGAGGCACCGAACGTCAAACAAAAAGAGCCTTCGAAGGTCTTCCATACGCAGCGGCTACTACCCTGACAGATCGGACCACGGTATTATGCCTTCTACCCTTGATGGACACCCTGCAGGCTAAGAACTGTATGACCTTGCATCAACCGGCTTGTTTCTGAGTGGAATCGGATAGACACGCGTGCCCTCACAAGCCGTGGTCAAATGGTGTGCTCCAGAATGAGTGACAATCTTGTATCGAAGCTTGCCACATCGTCCAAATGAGTCCATGGTTGGTGTGCAATCGGTGGCCTCCAAGTCACACTGCGAGCGCTTGTACTAAAATTTTCTGCTAACCAGTACATAATTTAAGTCCCTCCGCATTGTTTCTGTGGTGAGTGTCAACCAGGAATCCCGAAGACTCAGTCGGACAACCTAAGGATTCATACCACCTGCCACAATCACGATATCTCTGAGGCATACTGAGTAGTAGGGCTAAGCACAACTTCGCCGTCGTAGATACCACGACGGAGTATAGGACACGTGAAGGGTTAATTACGAAAAATCTGGGTTTGTCCCGAGCGTGTTAAGATTTGTGACCGGAATAGGGACTTTTATGCATGTCGGAAAGACACAACATAAACCGACGGAAAGTGAGAAAACGTCGGAGTAGAAGCTACCTGTTGCCCAAATTAACAGAGTAGGAACGTTAAAAGCAGTAATTTGAAACAAATGCCTTGAATTTAATAAGGCAGAAGTCTAGAAACAGAGTAACGGTTAGATGGTTGACACCTAAATGAAGCAGAAAAACTTAAATGAGGGAATGTGGAGAGGAGTTAGTGAACAAAGAGCTGTAAGGGCAAACCATACTTCGCGGTTGCCAGGGTCTAAGAAGACAGTTTGATCGAGGTGTTCCAACTTAGACCTTTGACTCAAAAAGTCTGAACCACGAAGCAGCAGTTGCTGAGACCCGTCCCAGAGTTACTGACTCAATAGTCTTAACCGCTTGTTTGCAGAGGGGCTGGTCTAGCCCGAGGACGCAGGAAGTAAGACATCACTGTTCCACTCCAAGTGCAGCTGCGCACAGCAGGCGCCTTTTGAGGGGCACCAAACTATGAGGGTTTAAAAACATCTCGATTATGTTGAAAAGTGCGCCAGAGGTCACCTTCAGCCACTGGGAAATCGAACTGTGAAGATTTTAGGGCCGACCTTTCCTAACCCGTCCTTCCTCGGGGGAAGGTAGAATTGCCGCTCCCACAAATATGGACATCCTGGTCGCCTAGGGGAAACATCTTAGTGCCCTGATACTCCTGTTGCATTGGACAGTACGATTTTACCCCCATCTCCCTTCGCAATACGGGAACACGCCATTCTTCGTTGGGCTGTTCACAGGTGGCCTTCCTGGTATGACTGAATCTTACGGAACTTACCTCCATGCAGTGTAGCCTGCAGTACTGAATGTGGCTTGAGTATCACAAGATGAAATCTTTAGGTTGAGGGTCGGGGCATAGGAAAATAGGAGAATTCGCTTGTAGTTATGGGAGAAAAAGGTTAATGCAATAACAGACAGCCTAAAGCTCACTTTCGACTGTGCACAATACCAAATCCCATATTGACGATGACTGCATGTTCGACAGATTATCTCGTGCATACGTCAACTGATTAAGGGAACAGTCTGAGCCAATCAGGTAGAAATGAGATTGTTTCGTAGATGCCCGTTCTGAGAGCATACGTCTCTTGCAGTTTGAGGCGGCCTCACAGAGTAAAATACCCTTGCCACACATTGGATCCAGAACGACACCATCCTGAAAATAAAAAAGCGTGATTAAATAGTATGCATAAAATGACAGAGGTATGAGAGACAGAGAACCCGCCGAAAATCCAACGTCAGTTTAACAGTCTGGAATACAAAACGAAGCACCGTTCGTAGTTACACGGCAATATGAGTATATTGGTTGGTGGCTAGTGTGTTTGCATAGTCCAACAGTGAACAACGCTCAGGGCACGGTACCATCGTCGCGGTGTTATTCAGAGAAATAATGACTTAACCAACATGAGCTCTGAGATTAAAGGAAGCAAAGAAAGCAAGATCAATCATCTGCTTGCAAATCTCAGTTTGGAATTTTCTGTCAAAACGAATCTACATCTATGGCGTACGTAAGGTAAGTGTGCCCCATAGAGGGGCTTCACAAGCTGTTGGCTGTCGGGGGAAGTAGTACTGCGTGCTTTGGAAAATATTCTCAGAACAACAGAGTGAATTGACAGACAATATGCACCGTAAAATGCACATAGGCCATCATCATCGGTCTGTGTCTGAGGGTATGTTGCACAGTCCTTCGAGGGGTTTGATTGTATATCCTGCCGGTTATGTCACTCGATTACTACCGAGACTTTATCATGCCAATCAACATAAATTATTGGGGGCGAATCTATTGACCATAAGGTTCTCTTTTTAACACCAAACTCGGCATCTCGACTGCTCCTGTCTAGGCTTGGGCAGACTGGCATTATTTCAGCCCTCATGCCTTCTTTGGATGGCAGTATGGTAGCTAGGCAACAAGAGTGTGATGCCCAAACAATTACCATTATTTTATTTCTATCAATCACTACGACCCAGGCTACTACGCGCTTTTCCGCCGTGGGCCTTTTCATTTAAGGCCATATCTTAAAAAGGAACCTAAAGGAAGGCGTCTCAAGCTACCATGTACCTTATCAAGCATCACAGTTGCATCCACAAGTTTTCCGACCAACGGCACAAGCTCAGTGAGGATACCTATTTGACCGGCTCCGTCGCTGACACAAATCGATTAAACTTGAGTGTCCGTTTGTTGCCCCTTCAAGGTTCAATTCTCTTTATTCATGGAGAAACCGTTCATCAGAACATGAGTAGCTACGGAATTACCTTTTACGACACTCAATAACCACTGAACGAGTGTTACGATAAATCGGACACCTGCGACGGGGATACATTAAGGGGCTTCCAGGTCCATAATGTGGTAGCTACATTAAGGTTCATATCGTACCGGCTTGGTATGCAGTTACGATATGACCCTAAATGATAAAATGTAACTAGCTGCTACGACTGGAAAGCTCACAACTTGAGATAGAACGATGGATCAAAGGGTGCGACAGACGTGCGCTAATAACGAAGGGATGGAAGTAAAAAACACTTCCTTAGCGTCACAAAAGTGCGGACCTCCACTGAACTAGTCAGATATATGTTCAAATACCAAGCAGGTGCTTTTGCATGCACACAGAAGGCGAACCGCCTGCATGAATTCTGTGTATGCATCCACTAGTACCATTTCTGCCGGATCAACTAAGGAGGAAGCCGGTTTTGACCTGCTCAAAGGGTCTGGAAAAGGTTTGGAGCAGGCCAAACAGTGAATAGGTCTTCAAAGCTAAATAAGCTTCTTAAGACAAAGTATATGAGAGGATTTGACGCCTTGGTGTGAAGAACATCACAGGCCCACTTGAAATATGAACAATGTCTGCAATACTAATCACTTGTGAGTAGTCTGGAATTAACCATGCTCTGGTTAGCGACCACAGCACGTCTGGATGCTCTAGCCACGAGCTACATACCGCACTAATACGAAGTCAATCTTTCCTGGATGTCCTCACAGCAGGGAGATCCGGTTTTTCACCTTCTTACGGTAACAGCACACTCTTAAGGGGCAGGCACAGCCACTTGAGGTGCACCTGGTCGGCAAGCAGGAAACGTCATGATAAGAACTAATGCATATTGAATAATGCACCACAAATCCATGACGCCAGACAGAAGTCATGTGCGCGGTTGGTATCAAGGTAAAGAGGGAGAATTTAAAGTTCGATGAGCCACGGTGAGGAATGGAAGGCCTTCATGCGAGAAACCAATGGGAGCAGAATAACCCTTACGCCAGCACAATTTCAAAGGCCACATGTGGCCGAAATCGCTCAGGACACGGGTGGAACTCTGAACTCGTCGCTAAAGGTATGATTCAAACTGCCAAAGATTGCATAAACTATTGGGACCGGACTATGAGCTGTGTTTAAAAGGAACCTGTGTGGCCTTTGAACTCGTCCTCGACTATAAGACTATCATCACCACCACTGACAGGAATATACTAGTAATATACACTGACGGCTAACTGCCTGTGCTACAAGCTATTTCCCCTATGAAATTAATCTGATGCAATTCACCGACCTGCACACATCACCACATTTTTCTATTTGAATTTGAGGTGGTATTTATTCGTCACGTGATTTCCGTATATTTCGCATGAATTTATGGTGCACTGGTCAATATGAGCGATCACAGAAAACAAGTCTTGCCTCTTTCTTTCGTTCTTATCAGCAACATCCACGGCTATCTTCAGTCGCTTGAAACATTAAGCTGGATTTCTACATCCAAAACATAGGAGTTGTTGGGGGCCAATCTACTACACGCATCACAAGATTTTGAACCCTCTCCTCATCAGCACCGTTGCAGGACATCAGTTTTCAAACGCCGAGGAGTCACTGACGTAAAACCACAACCTACCACTATTTATTTATTGTGAGAAAAATAGTGGTGATAAGCCATCAATCATTCCGAGGTGCCTAGACTTACAGAAATCAACTCGGACACTGGATAGGAACTGACAACATTGCTACTGAAATAGAGTGGCAGTCGTAACTTGCGGTGTCTCCAACCTTGCGACGGGGGAACCACGCGAACACCATCCCGAAAGGCGGTTCGCATCGACAGTACCCAGAATTTCCGTGTGCTCTTTCATATCCCACTACCAGGTCAAAGGTTGACCACCACTCAGAGCTGGGCGTGAAAAACAGCACTTTTTTCGGCGAACAATAATTTGGCATACACAATACATTACCAAACCATTGTAGCCTTTGATACTGGGCACGCTCTTCGACCGAAGTCCCTGTTACACAACCGAATTCCCTATAGTAGAGGTAAACCAAAGGTAAACACATTATTTCTCGAGGCCGATGAAAACTGCCAGACAGCCACCGGCGTGCTGTATCGAGAAGCTAGCGCTGCTCTATGCTTCTCGGGGCTTCATCAAACACAACATTTACGACTATTATCTGTACTGTTCCATTACATTGTGCATTCATATTCCTGTTTCGTAGCCACGATGATTAGTCGCCCGACGGTAAGTACTCAAAGTTCTCGAACAGCTAATAGAGAATTCGGGGCAGATTCCGTCTCCTCCACTGGGCGTTACCTTCATTATTCGCCTGGTCTTAGTTTGGTTCCACAGTTTCGGAATAGCGCACATTGATTCGGAGCCAAAGTTGATCTCGATTGGTAGCCACGAACACACGGACAAAGGCTTCCAAACAGGAAATGCTAGTGCACAACCAACTCGACGCCATACTGAGAGGTTGTCAATGCTCAACGAATTATCCCATCTGTGACCCAAACCCAAGTACTCCAGACGTATGAAGACCGTAGGCGAACGAAAACTGAGCTTTTGAATTCCTGGGTTTCTACCTGAATTTCGGTCACAGAAGTCAAAACCGGTCAATTTTTCCTCAATTCATACGTCAATAATTATTGTCAGTGAATCATGTTACAGTGTCACACAGATTAACAAGAGCTCAACCTCAATCTTCATCGCCATTACGATTATCAGTGTTACTCCGTCCCGTTGAGTAAGTATCTCCTGTTATCATTGAGCTTGGCGCCAAAGGCAGCGTAAACATTGAAAACCAAAATGGATGCTACTGGTTAAGGTGATATATGTTTAGGGTGGGTTGATCAGTTCAGGGGTGAATGCACGCTAATGACTGCAGCATGTTATCCTGTCAGAGAGTGCCTTCGACCGTCGACAGGAGCTGTCACTCGCTTTTGCTGAGTTGTGCCACCAAAAGCTCATAACTCGAGACCAAGTCCACGCCCAACAAGTGCGTGTTCATTTCCAGTCTTTCTGAGATTTGTCACACAATGTTATGTGCGAGAGTAATCCAGCTAATATCTGACGGGCAGAATCTAGCCTGCGTACACCGCAGATTTTAGGGAACACGCTTTTGGCCTGTTATCCTTGTACACCACTGCACTGTCCGCCCTACACGTAAGCATGGTTTATATAGGCCGCTGGAGGCATCCAGGGTCTAGCCCGAGCTTTTTGGACATAGTAATAGCACTAGAAACCGCGTATAGCCGACTATCTGACTTTTTTGGCATTCTTAACGCCGACTGGACGGGAAGGGAGTGCTACTAATCCTATAGGTGACCTCTACCATATAATGGAACAGGTGCTTGATAGCTTGTTGTCAGCTTCAGTCAGGTAGCCTATTACATGGCCAAGTTATTCCCGAACCAGTATGGTCACAAAAGTCCGAACTTCGAAAGTTCAAAGCGCACCTATAAAAATTCACTCTTCAAAAATTGACTGAAAATGAATGAATGAAAAATGACATCACCTAAATGGCTTCATCATATCATATTGTGCCCTGACAGTCCATGCACTTCCCGAGGGTGGGAAAAATAATTACGACTGTAGTCGTTCGCGCGCCGTACGTGCAAGCGAGAGTTCCCCGAACAAACCCACAGTCTTTTCCGGCAATGGCACAGTTGATATTTTATCCTATAAGTGGAGTAAACCTACGCCGAAAAGCAGCGCACACTTACGACGATTTCCAACAAGGGTAAAACAGTAGTACAGTGCTTTTCGATACAGATCGACTCTATAAGACAAAAGCTTAATCAAAATATCCCAAGTCTCCTCGTATTACAAATTTTCACACCACCTTTTGAAACAGACGTACACAGATTGGTGTGTACAAGTTTCCTATTGTAAGCTGATCACTTCGAAAAGACTCGAGCTTCTCACTTTGTTGCCGGAGAACCCTATGGGTGCTTTGCGTTGACCACAGCATTTCGATTTTCTCCCGTGAGATTCTCGCAATTTCACACACTTATAGAGTGTACTCAGAACCGAAGTCACATCTTGAATAAATAGCATTCCACCAGTGACAAACATGCTCCAGCTCTGATCTCCAAATCCATGGTTATTCATGAAATCAGCCTTACTGACAACGTGATCACGTCTCTCGCTAAGCCACTGAAAAGCCAACGTCGACCACTGTAACCAGGCAGCTGGTGGTACAGCCCTTCGTCCTCGAAGAAAAAACCCCGCACTAGTCTTATAGGACGTACTTTCTAGCTCCCAAAATGGTTGATATACTTTATCGCAAGGAGGACACATCAGATGACAACAGATTTGCTGTTGGGGGACGAATCAGTTGACTGAACTGCTAATAGCACCATCAGACGATGCCTTTGTTTGGATAAGGGTATATCCTGTTAACCTAGACGAGATAGGTATCCTTTGCGAAACAAGCGCGCTTATCTCTTGTTCGCTGTTTGATCGAATCGGTAGATCTACCTCTAATTATGTATGTCGGGACACGTAAGATGCTCCTGGTCAACTGTGGTGACGTCAACAAGAGAAATGAAAATTCGAGTCATCTGACGATATTCATTTATTACTTTGGTTTAGCGTGCGATTAACGGTGCTCTATGACTTGATAGATCGCCTAGCGAAAAACCGGAGTCTTCAGAAATCCAGTTCAAATCGTTGATGATACGGTTGTGCAACGTCGACGGTTCAGCTGGCTGCGATGCTTTTGGACGGTTTGTCTGTCTAACCTCAGTGCATCAAATACATAACACAGTGCGGCATGAAACGCGTCTGCAAATCGATACGCCACCGACAATTTTGGATGGAAGTGCAATGAAGAGCTGACAGCAACCTCTTTTTTGTTTGTTTCTCAGGGGTCCGCCGTCAACATGACTGCTGGATGCTACAGGTATAAGCGTGTTAATGAGTGCTGAATACAGGGCGTAGCTACACCAGATGGGATCTGCCCGATAAAGCAGCTGTCGTCTGGCATAGTTCTTCGCTTCAAAAGATAGCACTGGTGGATTTCGTCATGCTTACATGTGGCATATAGAATTAAGTCGATAGGATATCACGCATGACTGACAAAGGCTTAGAATCTTCTAAAAATCACACCAAATGAACTACCGCCCCTTTCTTGGAAAAGTATGGAGCTGGATTTCCTCTAAAAGCTTGCAAAAGGTTACGACGATGATTCGTTTGCATATGAATACCCAAGAGGAGCCACTCCGGCCGAGCAAGACGTTTGGCTGGAGTTTCTCCAAGAGGACCGCAATGTACCAAATCGCGATGGCAGAAAGATGTAATACACATTGAAAGTAACCGAAATGTTGAAGCTTGATTCCCATGGACTGAAGTGAACCATTTTCGGGAGATTACGTTTTGGCGGATGTACAACCCAAGAATACTCGCAAGCATCAAAACTGGCGATGACGCATGAAAGTCTGCCGCATTAGCTGCAAATGTCGCACCACATCTTCTCAATATTCCTACACCACCTTGGACACAGGATAAGCTCAGATCCCGCAAGTGATGAATCAATACCCGAAGAAAGAATGCCACAATCACAGTGAACTTTGTCACTGGTCAAGATAGCTAAACCGACTGTCAAATAAAAGCAAACGATGTTTTTAGCACTCCCAGGCACGCGATCATCTTTAAGAGATGTGGACCAGTTTTGTTTGTTAGTAGCTCGAAAAGGAAACATTTGCATCTGCAGAAACCATCCGGTACCCAGCTGCTCTACCATCCAAAGTGCGAGAGCTGAGACACTGTCAGGTTAGTCAGGACCAGGTGGTCGAAGTACTTGGGTTGGGTTCGAGCCATGGACCTTCCGGTTAGTATTTTCGTGCAGTAAGCACTGGACCATTTCGAACATAAAGGTTATTTGTAATCCGTAACAGTGCAACAAAAGCTACATACTAATATAAAACATGTGATCACTCGGTATTTCCGCAATTCCGTGCATTCCATTTTGTCGCAGTGTTCAGGTGCATCACCACATAGTCATTCCGTTTTGGTTCCTATTAGAGTCGATTTAACCTGACAAGGGAAGTTTCTGAGCCAGAGGACAGGCTCTGATAACAAACATGAAGACACACTTTCCTGACGCATCATTATGTTTCATTTCAACATAATCAAGTTCATTGCATGTTTAAAGTGAACAGTGATTGGAGTGCATAAATTCACCACAACCCGTCGTCACTTGCTGAAGACATCTGAAAGCAGCAGGCGTCTCGGTAACGTGCAGAAGACGCAAGGGATGCATTATATTTATCGCATCTCCCAAAGGATATATCCCTTGTCCGGAAGATAGTTCAGTAACGCCTGCATGTTTTCATTATGGAGAAAGTACTGTACACGCATACATAATACTGCATAATGGAACGTCTAGGGGGTCGGTTTATTCGTGGGGGACCTGACAGTAGTAGCACGTCTACTTTTTAATATCACCGGAAATTTATGTCACTCATTCCTCCTGATGAAGACCATATCCTTCACTGGTGGCTTTTCTCCACCGCTAGTACTCTTCGAACGTTCTCGTGTTGGTATTCAATGAGAAGTCTGACAGTAATGGTATTAAAAAATGGTACCGTGCTAGGAAATGAAAACCAACTGACTCACACTGTCAGTTGCTACTAAATCTTACAAAAAACATTCCGCATATCAATAGTACTGATAAAACATAGAAACTATACCTGGATATGCATCACGATAGCAGTCGCTGAAGTTGGGCGCAGACCATGGTGCAAGGTATAAATGCGCTTCGAAATGGGTTCTCTGGCAGACAAGATGGCAAGAAAAATAAACGAACGCACTTAGTAAGCGGCAATCCAAGAAACAATACATTATTACTCAGGATCAGGTTGATCTATCAAGAGAATAAGGTGAAAATAGAGAGGGACAAACCTCAAGCTTTGCGTCTTGTGTGAATTTGATGTTCATCCGACGTTCGAGAAACTGTTCGGCAGATGCACGTACGGACTAATCAAGTGAGAAAGCAGCTGAGTTTTCCTACTTCTGTACACCGTATGAAACATTTCGGACGTAGTTTGACAAACAACCTGGCACTGAACGGAAAATCATGTCTCACAGCGTCACAGGGGACCAAGGCAGTTTCGCGACAGCGACGTTCCCACAAATATAAGGATTGCGAAAACTGAAATACGTCGATTTTTTCGAGAGCCTTAATTATGTGTTGCACAGGCGTTGAGTTGTCTTTCACAACACAGCCAACTGCCGGTGAACCCAAAGGCTCACTCAAAATACACAAGAAAATCCGTTCAACGAGTTTCAAGTTTAGCAAATTGGGCAAATCTGAGTATTTCGCCCTAAAGATGATCTTTCCCGGGAACTGGCTGTCATGAGTTATAAAAGATGCAGACCTACCTGAGTTATTTCATTGGCCAACTCTTTGAGTTCGTCTATGACCAGCTGTGACATCCCCTCACCCGCGGTGCATAAAATGCGCACGAAATCATCCTCGCAGTCCGTTTTCGGCAAGCCAGATACGTATTCCGCACCCGACAAAGAAACCTATACGAGATATCAGAATTGAGTTACACAGGAAGTGACCAAAGACTGTAAAATAGCTTGGTTTCATACGGTCAAGTTGTTGTGCATGATATAGTGCCGACCAACCTATACCAATCATCATCATCATCATCATCATCATCATCATCATCATCATCATCATCATCATCATCATCATCATCATCACCAACATCATCATCAACGGGTAACCATCATCATCATCATCATCGACACCATGACAGCAGTGTTCAAAACTGATGCTTCACTGCCGTACAACCATGATTTATTTGAAAGCTTTATTGTAAAGGAAAGCGTAGAGATGGACGGGGAAGGGACTTAGTGCCGGCTTACCACAATCATTCCGAGGTGCATACACCTCCAGACATTCACCCAGGCGATTTGGATAGAAACTGACAAGAACGCCACTGACATCGGTTGGCAGCCATATCTTGTAGTGCCTCCAACCAGGCACAGTGAGGATCACGCGGTGCCCGTCCT